TACCTTTCTACAGTCTACTGTCTGTACCTTTCTACAGTCTATGGTCTGTACCTTTCTACTGTCTGTACCTTTCTACAGTCTGTGGTCTGTACCTTTCTACAGTCTACTGTCTGTACCTTTCTACAGTCTATGGTCTGTACCTTTCTACAGTCTACTGTCTGTACCTTTCTACAGTCTACTGTCTGTACCTTTCTACAGTCTGTGGTCTGTACCTTTCTACAGTCTGTGGTCAGTACCTTTCTACAGTCTGTGGTCTGTACCTTTCTACAGTCTGTGGTCTGTACCTTTCTACAGTCTGTGGTCTGTACCTTTCTACAGTCTGTGGTCTGTACCTTTCTACAGTCTGTGGTCTGTACCTTTCTACAGTCTACTGTCTGTACCTTTCTACAGTCTACTGTCTGTACCTTTCTACAGTCTATGGTCTGTACCTTTCTACAGTCTGTGGTCTGTACCTTTCTACAGTCTACTGTCTGTACCTTTCTACAGTCTACTGTCTGTACCTTTCTACAGTCTATGGTCTGTACCTTTCTACAGTCTGTGGTCTGTACCTTTCTACAGTCTACTGTCTGTACCTTTCTACAGTCTACTGTCTGTACCTTTCTACAGTCTATGGTCTGTACCTTTCTACAGTCTATGGTCTGTACCTTTCTAGTCTATGGTCTGTACCTTTCTACAGTCTACTGTCTGTACCTTTCTACAGTCTACGGTCTGTACCTTTCTACAGTCTGTGGTCTGTAGCTTTCTACAGTCTGTGGTCTGTACCTTTCTACAGTCTGTGGTCTGTACCTTTCTACAGTCTACTGTCTGTACCTTTCTACAGTCTATGGTCTGTACCTTTCTACAGTCTGTGGTCTGTACCTTTCTACAGTCTACTGTCTGTACCTTTCTACAGTCTGTGGTCTGTACCTTTCTACAGTCTGTGGTCTGTACCTTTCTACAGTCTGTGGTCTGTACCTTTCTACAGTCTACTGTCTGTACCTTTCTACAGTCTACTGTCTGTACCTTTCTACAGTCTACTGTCTGTACCTTTCTACAGTCTACTGTCTGTACCTTTCTACAGTCTGTGGTCTGTACCTTTCTACAGTCTGTGGTCTGTACCTTTCTACAGTCTGTGGTCTGTACCTTTCTACAGTCTACTGTCTGTACCTTTCTACAGTCTACTGTCTGTACCTTTCTACAGTCTGTGGTCTGTACCTTTCTACAGTCTACTGTCTGTACCTTTCTACAGTCTACTGTCTGTACCTTTCTACAGTCTGTGGTCTGTACCTTTCTACAGTCTATGGTCTGTACCTTTCTACAGTCTACGGTCTGTACCTTTCTACAGTCTGTGGTCTGTACCTTTCTACAGTCTGTGGTCTGTACCTTTCTACTGTCTGTACCTTTCTACAGTCTACTGTCTGTACCTTTCTACAGTCTGTGGTCTGTACCTTTCTACAGTCTACTGTCTGTACCTTTCTACAGTCTGTGGTCTGTACCTTTCTACAGTCTACTGTCTGTACCTTTCTACAGTCTATGGTCTGTACCTTTCTACTGTCTGTACCTTTCTACTGTCTGTACCTTTCTACAGTCTACTGTCTGTACCTTTCTACAGTCTGTGGTCTGTACCTTTCTACAGTCTACTGTCTGTACCTTTCTACAGTCTACTGTCTGTACCTTTCTACAGTCTGTGGTCTGTACCTTTCTACAGTCTACTGTCTGTACCTTTCTACAGTCTACTGTCTGTACCTTTCTACAGTCTGTGGTCTGTACCTTTCTACAGTCTACTGTCTGTACCTTTCTACAGTCTACTGTCTGTACCTTTCTACAGTCTGTGGTCTGTACCTTTCTACAGTCTGTGGTCTGTACCTTTCTACAGTCTACTGTCTGTACCTTTCTACAGTCTATGGTCTGTACCTTTCTACAGTCTACTGTCTGTACCTTTCTACAGTGTACTGTCTGTACCTTTCTACAGTCTGTGGTCTGTACCTTTCTACAGTCTGTGGTCTGTACCTTTCTACAGTCTGTGGTCTGTACCTTTCTACAGTCTATGGTCTGTACCTTTCTACAGTCTGTGGTCTGTACCTTTCTACAGTCTACGGTCTGTACCTTTCTACAGTCTACGGTCTGTACCTTTCTACAGTCTGTGGTCTGTACCTTTCTACAGTCTATGGTCTGTACCTTTCTACAGTCTACTGTCTGTACCTTTCTACAGTCTATGGTCTGTACCTTTCTACAGTCTACTGTCTGTACCTTTCTACAGTCTATGGTCTGTACCTTTCTACAGTCTACTGTCTGTACCTTTCTACAGTCTATGGTCTGTACCTTTCTACAGTCTATGGTCTGTACCTTTCTACAGTCTACTGTCTGTACCTTTCTACGGTCTACTGTCTGTACCTTTCTACAGTCTGTGGTCTGTACCTTTCTACAGTCTACTGTCTGTACCTTTCTACAGTCTATGGTCTGTACCTTTCTACAGTCTATGGTCTGTACCTTTCTACAGTCTACGGTCTGTACCTTTCTACAGTCTACGGTCTGTACCTTTCTACAGTCTATGGTCTGTACCTTTCTACTGTCTGTACCTTTCTACAGTCTGTGGTCTGTACCTTTCTACAGTCTACTGTCTGTACCTTTCTACAGTCTATGGTCTGTACCTTTCTACAGTCTACTGTCTGTACCTTTCTACAGTCTACTGTCTGTACCTTTCTACAGTCTGTGGTCTGTACCTTTCTACAGTCTGTGGTCTGTACCTTTCTACAGTCTGTGGTCTGTACCTTTCTACAGTCTACTGTCTGTACCTTTCTACAGTCTACTGTCTGTACCTTTCTACAGTCTGTGGTCTGTACCTTTCTACAGTCTACTGTCTGTACCTTTCTACAGTCTACTGTCTGTACCTTTCTACAGTCTGTGGTCTGTACCTTTCTACAGTCTATGGTCTGTACCTTTCTACAGTCTACGGTCTGTACCTTTCTACAGTCTGTGGTCTGTACCTTTCTACAGTCTGTGGTCTGTACCTTTCTACAGTCTGTGGTCTGTACCTTTCTACAGTCTACTGTCTGTACCTTTCTACAGTCTATGGTCTGTACCTTTCTACAGTCTGTGGTCTGTACCTTTCTACAGTCTACTGTCTGTACCTTTCTACAGTCTACTGTCTGTACCTTTCTACAGTCTATGGTCTGTACCTTTCTACAGTCTATGGTCTGTACCTTTCTAGTCTATGGTCTGTACCTTTCTACAGTCTACTGTCTGTACCTTTCTACAGTCTGTGGTCTGTACCTTTCTACAGTCTACTGTCTGTACCTTTCTACAGTCTATGGTCTGTACCTTTCTACAGTCTGTGGTCTGTACCTTTCTACAGTCTGTGGTCTGTACCTTTCTACAGTCTGTGGTCTGTACCTTTCTACAGTCTGTGGTCTGTACCTTTCTACAGTCTACTGTCTGTACCTTTCTACAGTCTGTGGTCTGTACCTTTCTACAGTCTGTGGTCTGTACCTTTCTACAGTCTGTGGTCTGTACCTTTCTACAGTCTACTGTCTGTACCTTTCTACAGTCTGTGGTCTGTACCTTTCTACAGTCTGTGGTCTGTACCTTTCTACAGTCTACTGTCTGTACCTTTCTACAGTCTACTGTCTGTACCTTTCTACAGTCTACTGTCTGTACCTTTCTACAGTCTACTGTCTGTACCTTTCTACAGTCTGTGGTCTGTACCTTTCTACAGTCTGTGGTCTGTACCTTTCTACAGTCTGTGGTCTGTACCTTTCTACAGTCTACTGTCTGTACCTTTCTACAGTCTACTGTCTGTACCTTTCTACAGTCTACTGTCTGTACCTTTCTACAGTCTGTGGTCTGTACCTTTCTACAGTCTATGGTCTGTACCTTTCTACAGTCTACGGTCTGTACCTTTCTACAGTCTGTGGTCTGTACCTTTCTACAGTCTGTGGTCTGTACCTTTCTACAGTCTGTGGTCTGTACCTTTCTACAGTCTACTGTCTGTACCTTTCTACAGTCTATGGTCTGTACCTTTCTACAGTCTACTGTCTGTACCTTTCTACAGTCTACTGTCTGTACCTTTCTACAGTCTACTGTCTGTACCTTTCTACAGTCTACTGTCTGTACCTTTCTACAGTCTGTGGTCTGTACCTTTCTACAGTCTATGGTCTGTACCTTTCTACAGTCTACTGTCTGTACCTTTCTACAGTCTACTGTCTGTACCTTTCTACAGTCTACTGTCTGTACCTTTCTACAGTCTATGGTCTGTACCTTTCTACAGTCTACTGTCTGTACCTTTCTACAGTCTACGGTCTGTACCTTTCTACAGTCTACTGTCTGTACCTTTCTACAGTCTGTGGTCTGTACCTTTCTACAGTCTGTGGTCTGTACCTTTCTACAGTCTACTGTCTGTACCTTTCTACAGTCTACTGTCTGTACCTTTCTACAGTCTACTGTCTGTACCTTTCTACAGTCTGTGGTCTGTACCTTTCTACAGTCTGTGGTCTGTACCTTTCTACAGTCTGTGGTCTGTACCTTTCTACAGTCTATGGTCTGTACCTTTCTACAGTCTACTGTCTGTACCTTTCTACAGTCTGTGGTCTGTACCTTTCTACAGTCTGGTCTGTACCTTTCTACAGTCTGTGGTCTGTACCTTTCTACAGTCTGTGGTCTGTACCTTTCTACAGTCTGTGGTCTGTACCTTTCTACAGTCTACTGTCTGTACCTTTCTACAGTCTACTGTCTGTACCTTTCTACAGTCTACTGTCTGTACCTTTCTACAGTCTATGGTCTGTACCTTTCTACAGTCTGTGGTCTGTACCTTTCTACAGTCTATGGTCTGTACCTTTCTACAGTCTATGGTCTGTACCTTTCTACAGTCTACTGTCTGTACCTTTCTACAGTCTATGGTCTGTACCTTTCTACAGTCTACTGTCTGTACCTTTCTACAGTCTACTGTCTGTACCTTTCTACAGTCTACTGTCTGTACCTTATGAAGCAAATCTTTGATATTGAGAGAATAAATAAGAACTCACTGAGTCTCCACACAGAGCTCTCATCTCTGGACTCTCCCACGAGTCTGGGAACAGGAGACAGGCCAGCGCCATGCAGAACCCTGAGGACAGAGACAGTTAGTGTGTGTGTGTGTGTGTGTGTGTGTGTGTGTGTGTGTGTGTGTGTGTGTGTGTGTGTGTGTGTGTGTACCTGAGGTCAGCTGTAGCCAGCCACAGATCTTGTACACGGTGGCTGCGCTGCAGAACCTGAAGAGGCTGAGGCTCAGAACGCTGGTCCAGACGGCCCAGAGAGAGACTCCCACCAGAACCGCTACTGACTGGAAGGAGGGCAGCGGGGACAGAGAGGAGACACTCCCCCTGCAATCTGAGAGCCAATCAGAGTCCACACACACCTGCACACACACACACCTGCTGTTAATACACCTGGAGGACAGAGAGGAGACACTCCCCCTGCACTCTGAGAGCCAATCAGAGTCCACACCTGCCGTTAACACACCAGGACACACACACCTACTGTAATACACCTGAATACACACCTGCCGTTAACACACACACACACACACACACACACACACACACACACACACACACACACACACACCGTTAATACACGTGTACACACACCTGAACACACACCTGTACACAAAGAACCACCATGAACACACATTTAAGGACTTTAAGGACAAAATAACTATTACAAATGTTCAGCCGAAGCCGCAGAAACGATCTCGTTAGCCATTTACAAGCTAACAGCTAGCTCCAGCAGGATTGTGGGTAATGTAGTTTATTGCAGTGTGGTGGTGAGTCTATGTTGCATCGATACATATCAAATGCACCCTATAGGACTCATCATTGCACACTGTACAGTCTAACTGGATGGTCCTCACTAGGTAAGCTTCCACTGTACAGCCTAACTGGATGGTCCTCACTAGGTAAGCTTCCACTGTACAGCCTAACTGGATGGTCCTCACTAGGTAAGCTTCCACTGTACAGCCTAACTGGATGGTCCTCGCTAGGTAAGCTTCCACTGTACAGCCTAACTGGATGGTCCTCGCTAGGTAAGCTTCCACTGTACAGCCTAACTGGATGGTCCTCGCTAGGTAAGCTTCCACTGTACAGCCTAACTGGATGGTCCTCACTAGGTAAGCTTCCACTGTACAGCCTAACTGGATGGTCCTCACTAGGTAAGCTTCCACTGTACAGCCTAACTGGATGGTCCTCGCTAGGTAAGCTTCCACTGTACAGCCTAACTGGATGGTCCTCGCTAGGTAAGCTTCCACTGTACAGCCTAACTGGATGGTCCTCGCTAGGTAAGCTTCCACTGTACAGCCTAACTGGATGGTCCTCGCTAGGTAAGCTTCCACTGTACAGCCTAACTGGATGGTCCTCGCTAGGTAAGCTTCCACTGTACAGCCTAACTGGATGGTCCTCACTAGGTAAGCTTCCACTGTACAGCCTAACTGGATGGTCCTCGCTAGGTAAGCTTCCACTGTACAGCCTAACTGGATGGTCCTCACTAGGTAAGCTTCCACTGTACAGCCTAACTGGATGGTCCTCACTAGGTAAGCTTCCACTGTACAGCCTAACTGGATGGTCCTCACTAGGTAAGCTTCCACTGTACAGCCTAACTGGATGGTCCTCACTAGGTAAGCTTCCACTGTACAGCCTAACTGGATGGTCCTCACTAGGTAAGCTTCCACTGTACAGCCTAACTGGATGGTCCTCGCTAGGTAAGCTTCCACTGTACAGCCTAACTGGATGGTCCTCGCTAGGTAAGCTTCCACTGTACAGCCTAACTGGATGGTCCTCACTAGGTAAGCTTCCACTGTACAGCCTAACTGGATGGTCCTCGCTAGGCAAGCTTCCACTGTACAGCCTAACTGGATGGTCCTCGCTAGGTAAGCTTCCACTGTACAGCCTAACTGGATGGTCCTCACTAGGTAAGCTTCCACTGTACAGCCTAACTGGATGGTCCTCACTAGGTAAGCTTCCACTGTACAGCCTAACTGGATGGTCCTCACTAGGTAAGCTTCCACTGTACAGCCTAACTGGATGGTCCTCACTAGGTAAGCTTCCACTGTACAGCCTAACTGGATGGTCCTCGCTAGGTAAGCTTCCACTGTACAGCCTAACTGGATGGTCCTCGCTAGGTAAGCTTCCACTGTACAGCCTAACTGGATGGTCCTCGCTAGGTAAGCTTCCACTGTACAGCCTAACTGGATGGTCCTCGCTAGGTAAGCTTCCACTGTACAGCCTAACTGGATGGTCCTCGCTAGGTAAGCTTCCACTGTACAGCCTAACTGGATGGTCCTCACTAGGTAAGCTTCCACTGTACAGCCTAACTGGATGGTCCTCACTAGGTAAGCTTCCACTGTACAGCCTAACTGGATGGTCCTCACTAGGTAAGCTTCCACTGTACAGCCTAACTGGATGGTCCTCACTAGGTAAGCTTCCACTGTACAGCCTAACTGGATGGTCCTCGCTAGGTAAGCTTCCACTGTACAGCCTAACTGGATGGTCCTCGCTAGGTAAGCTTCCACTGTACAGCCTAACTGGATGGTCCTCACTAGGTAAGCTTCCACTGTACAGCCTAACTGGATGGTCCTCACTAGGTAAGCTTCCACTGTACAGCCTAACTGGATGGTCCTCACTAGGTAAGCTTCCACTACAGCCTAACTGGATGGTCCTCACTAGGTAAGCTTCCACTACAGCCTAACTGGATGGTCCTCACTAGGTAAGCTTCCACTGTACAGCCTAACTGGATGGTCCTCACTAGGTAAGCTTCCACTGTACAGCCTAACTGGATGGTCCTCACTAGGTAAGCTTCCACTGTACAGCCTAACTGGATGGTCCTCACTAGGTAAGCTTCCACTGTACAGCCTAACTGGATGGTCCTCACTAGGTAAGCTTCCACTGTACAGCCTAACTGGATGGTCCTCACTAGGTAAGCTTCCACTGTACAGCCTAACTGGATGGTCCTCACTAGGTAAGCTTCCACTGTACAGCCTAACTGGATGGTCCTCACTAGGTAAGCTTCCACTACAGCCTAACTGGATGGTCCTCACTAGGTAAGCTTCCACTACAGCCTAACTGGATGGTCCTCACTAGGTAAGCTTCCACTGTACATATGTGCCAGATCTGCTCCAGTTTGTGACTCTTACAACCTCAGATCCAGTGCCTGGATACGGTTCCAGGTTCCTGCTGTGCGGACTGAGGCTGGAAAAAGGAGTCTTTTTCATGATGGTCCTTGGTCTTGGAATGACCTTCAATCAAGCCTCAAACTGAGGGCACTTGTCTCAATAGCATGATTTAAATTGAAGTTGTCTGAAGTCCTCACCACCAGCTGCTCTTGCAGTAACAGGTAGTGTACCTTTCTTACTGTCCTAATGTGCACAATGTAGGGACTGCTTTTCCTCTTTTCTTTACTAAGTTGTGTTCTCTGTATTTGATATGTCTGTGTTCTGTGTTAGAACCATAGACTGTATATCTAAAGGTTAGAACGTGTCACGGTGCTGCCTTCTCGGCAAGGTCAGTATTGTAAATGAGATTTTATCTCAAAGCTTTTTATCTGGTTAAATAAAATTAAAATAAATCTCCTACACAGACTCTGATTGGACAGCATGTGTGAGTGGGCGTGTCCTCGTGTCTCACCTGGAACAGCCCCAGGGTGCCGCTGGCCTCGCCCCCCCCCCCCGCTGCGCACCCACGCGGGCTGCAGCAGCACCACGAGCTGCAGGACTGCGGAGCAGAGTGCGCACACGGCCCACAGCGCACCCACCGCGCGCACACTGCGCACGAACTCCGTCTGATAGAGCCGCGAGAGGTCCGCGAGGGGTGGGGGGGCCGACATACCTGGGGGGGAGAGAGACTTTAATTACAGGTGTGAGCTGCAGCACAATCAATGACTGAAACTACTAACATGATACATACAGATGTGTTGCAGCTGCATCAGAGACATGTCAACAAGTCTCTGAAGCTGCAGGACCAACATGATACAACTAGTGATGTTACGTATTGCGCCGAGGCTTCGGAGCGTGTGTCGAGTAATCCCCGAAGCTTTTTGTGAAGCTTGTATCGAGGCTTGTATCGTTTTGGGCCAGTGATGTCACCGATGACAAACGAAGCCTCGCTGCCCCTCGATACCACGTGACTGCTTCAGGAAGCGATTCAGATCGGTTGAACCACAACGCTCATATTACCCATGATGTATAATAAGAACGATATTACCCCTCCTGTACCCGGGCCCGGTGACACGATGGAAGAGAGCTCAGACCCTCACTCATATAGAGGTCAGAACATGGCATAAGTATAAATAAATACAAGCATCAATAAATGAATAAATACAGGAATAAATAGTGTGCAGTGTTTTCAGATGGATTCAGTGTGTGGGCTGTGGCTCAGCTGGAAAGCAGTCGACTCACGACCGCAGGGTCCCTGGTTCAACGCCCGCAGGGTCCCCGGTTCAACGACCGCAGGGTCCCCGGTTCAACGCCCGCAGGGTCCCCGGTTCAACGACCGCAGGGTCCCCGGTTCAACGACCGCAGGGTCCCCGGTTCAACGCCTGGTCAACACGTCTGTGTGTGTTTATAACAGCTACAGCTAAATGAGATGATGTAGTTCATGTAGTCTTTGATGTGGTTCAGGATACAACATGGTTACGTTTACGGATATTATTAAGGAATACAAATCCCTCTTTGCAATGTTTACCAGCCTCCTTAGGCTTTTCAATCACAATCATTCAACTGGAATAAATACAATATTGTTAACATGAAAATATGATTTAATGTTCGTTGTTTAGAGTTATTCTAAGGCTTTACTCATTGGGAACTCGGTATGAGATACAGCTCGCTGTTGAGACGCCTGTTTTACACACTTTGACCAACAGGGGGGTTTGTGTTCAGATGAAGCCCATGATGAAGCCTCATGAGATGAAGCCCATGATGAAGCCTCATGAGATGAAGCCCATGATGAAGCCCATGATGAAGCCTCATGAGATGAAGCCCATGATGAAGCCTCATGAGATGAAGCCCATGATGAAGCCTCATGAGATGAAGCCCATGAGATGAAGCCCATGAGATGAAGCCCATGAGATGAAGCCTCATGATGAAGCCTCATGAGATGAAGCCCATGAGATGAAGCCCATGATGAAGCCTCATGAGATGAAGCCCATGAGATGAAGCCCATGATGAAGCCTCATGAGATGAAGCCCATGAGATGAAGCCCATGATGAAGCCTCATGAGATGAAGCCCATGAGATGAAGCCCATGATGAAGCCTCATGATGAAGCCTCATGAGATGAAGCCTCATGAGATGAAGCCCATGATGAAGCCTCATGAGATGAAGCCCATGATGAAGCCTCATGAGATGAAGCCCATGATGAAGCCCATGATGAAGCCTCATGATGAAGCCTCATGATGAAGCCTCATGAGATGAAGCCCATGATGAAGCCTCATGAGATGAAGCCCATGATGAAGCCTCATGAGATGAAGCCTCATGATGAAGCCTCATGAGATGAAGCCCATGATGAAGCCTCATGAGATGAAGCCTCATGATGAAGCCTCATGAGATGAAGCCCATGATGAAGCCTCATGAGATGAAGCCCATGATGAAGCCTCATGAGATGAAGCCCATGATGAAGCCTCATGAGATGAAGCCCATGATGAAGCCTCATGAGATGAAGCCCATGATGAAGCCTCATGAGATGAAGCCCATGATGAAGCCTAATGAGATGAAGCCTCATGATGAAGCCTCATGAGATGAAGCCCATGATGAAGCCTAATGAGATGAAGCCCATGATGAAGCCTCATGAGATGAAGCCCATGATGAAGCCTCATGAGATGAAGCCCATGATGAAGCCTCATGAGATGAAGCCCATGATGAAGCCTCATGAGATGAAGCCCATGATGAAGCCTCATGAGATGAAGCCCATGATGAAGCCTCATGAGATGAAGCCCATGATGAAGCCTCATGAGATGAAGCCCATGATGAAGCCTCATGAGATGAAGCCCATGATGAAGCCTCATGAGATGAAGCCCATGATGAAGCCTCATGAGATGAAGCCCATGATGAAGCCCATGATGAAGCCTCATCAGATGAAGCCTCATGAGATGAAGCCCAAGAGATGAAGCCTAATGAGATGAAGCCCATGATGAAGCCCATGATGAAGCCCATGAGATGAAGCCCATGATGAAGCCTAATGAGATGAAGCCCATGATGAAGCCTCATGAGATGAAGCCCATGATGAAGCCTCATGAGATGAAGCCCATGATGAAGCCTCATGAGATGAAGCCCATGATGAAGCCCATGATGAAGCCTCATGATGAAGCCTCATGATGAAGCCTCATGAGATGAAGCCCATGATGAAGCCTCATGAGATGAAGCCCATGATGAAGCCTCATGAGATGAAGCCTCATGATGAAGCCTCATGAGATGAAGCCCATGATGAAGCCTCATGAGATGAAGCCTCATGATGAAGCCTCATGAGATGAAGCCCATGATGAAGCCTCATGAGATGAAGCCCATGATGAAGCCTAATGAGATGAAGCCCATGATGAAGCCTCATGAGATGAAGCCCATGATGAAGCCTCATGAGATGAAGCCCATGATGAAGCCTCATGAGATGAAGCCCATGATGAAGCCTCATGAGATGAAGCCCATGATGAAGCCTCATGAGATGAAGCCTCATGATGAAGCCTCATGAGATGAAGCCCATGATGAAGCCTCATGAGATGAAGCCCATGATGAAGCCTCATGAGATGAAGCCCATGATGAAGCCTCATGAGATGAAGCCCATGATGAAGCCTCATGAGATGAAGCCCATGATGAAGCCTCATGAGATGAAGCCCATGATGAAGCCTCATGAGATGAAGCCCATGATGAAGCCTCATGAGATGAAGCCCATGATGAAGCCTCATGAGATGAAGCCCATGATGAAGCCTCATGAGATGAAGCCCATGATGAAGCCTCATGAGATGAAGCCCATGATGAAGCCTCATGATGAAGCCCATGATGAGCCTCATGATGAAGCCCATGATGAAGCCCATGATGAAGCCTCATCAGATGAAGCCTCATGAGATGAAGCCCAAGAGATGAAGCCTAATGAGATGAAGCCCATGATGAAGCCCATGATGAAGCCCATGAGATGAAGCCCATGATGAAGCCTAATGAGATGAAGCCCATGATGAAGCCTCATGAGATGAAGCCCATGATGAAGCCTCATGAGATGAACCAATTGGCTGGAAAGCTTCAAAGCTTCATAAGGCTTCATCTCACCACCACTACATACAACAGAGAACTATAAGCGATACCAACATGTATTCTCATTTTAATGTAATTCAAGTTATAGGCTTACAACAAATATATAAAGAACATATTTGAAACCCTGTAAAGTGCAAAGCTCCACATCACTGATCTGTGACCAGTTTAGCAGCTGCGGGTTTTCACACATGATTGATCTCTGCAGCTCCTGGTTCAACTGTAGAGAGGAGCAGCCAATCAGCGAGCACACACACACACACACACACACACACACACACACACACACACAGACACACACACACAGACACAGACACACACACACACACACACACAGACACACACACACAGACACACACACACAGACACAGACACACACACACACACACACACACACACACAGACACACACACACAGACACAGACACACACACACACACACACACAGACACACACACACACACACACACACAGACACACACACACACACAGACACACACACACACACACACACACACACGTCTCGTTTTAAAGCAGCTGTCAGTCTGAGATTTAAAGAGCGAAATGCATCTGAATCAAAACGATCAAAAACACACCGACCTGCAGCCGAGACAACCTGTCTCTCTCTCTCTCTCTCTCTCTCTCTCTCTCTCTCTCTCTCTCTCTCTCTCTCTCTCTCTCTCTCTCTCTCTCTACCTGTCTCTCTCTCTCTACCTGTCTCACTGCCTGTCTGTCGTCCTGTCTGTCTGCAGCACGAGAGGATGCAGGAGGAGATGATGAAGAGGAAGATGTTGAAGATGAAGATGCTGCGGCTCTAAATCCCCGGATGTAGCTCCTCCTCCTCCGCCGCAGCTCTGTGATCCGTCACACGGACTTAATATGTCATAACTAAACAATACATTTAAATAATAATAAACAACAACAGCAGCAGCAGCAGATGTGTTGACAGCAGCAGGTTGGAGGCGGAGCTGCGTCACAGCGCCGCTGCGTCACAGCGCCGCTCAGCTGTGACGCAGCGCCGCTCAGCTGCGCTCAAGTGAGAAAAAGGGCACTTTCCCAGGCGCGCCGGCTTCATTTTAGAAGTGGGTGGGCCAAAAAAGTGCGTGTGTATGGCCCAATCCCAAACCACGCCCTACACCCTAACCCTCCGTGACGGAGTGAACTCCGTGGAGTGACACACGAGGCTCCCTCCTGTCAGATGGAGGGAGACAGCGGCAAGCTTTGGGACAAACTCCCCTCTCTCCGGCAGAAACAGGAAATGCCGTAACTGTATGTAACAACGGTTTCAAATCAGCATTTCTTTGACACAACATGTAAATTAATAACTCAAATAAAACTCCAAACATCTTTAATTGTGTTACTTTTTTGTAAAGCTCTTTTAGTTTTAAACCTGATGTTTATAAGCTTCTTAGTTTTTGCAACAGTCTGTAAATATACACAACTTTATAATAAAATGCACACATTGACCTTTTTCTAGACTAAACACAGGTATGATCCTAAGTTAAAAACATATGAGGTTATCATGAGGTTGTTAACATCGCAGTTTATCAGTGGGTTATTGATTCTGCGTCAGTCTTAGGACAGTCATACTATGAAGTCTTCATGGACAACATAATCAGCTGATACCCATCGTACAGTCAGAGACAACTGTTCATGGAGACTTTTTCCAGTTATTAACTCCGGTATTAACAAAGCTATCATCTCCACATTTTGAGAAAGTTACAAGCCGTTTGACAGCAAATCTGCATATTTCACAGAAGGCCCGTTTAGTGGTTTTGCAAAGAATTAACCACTCTCTGTTTTTGTACCATTCTGCGTTGAAGTACCTTTCTCTTTGCCCAAATAATCTCCTTTTTTTTTCCGACAGTTTAGCTGTACAGCTTTACCCGCCTCAATGTCCCGACAACAAACCTCCATGCAGTCGAACCAGCCTGTTTCGGTTCAACGGCGGTGGCGGCGGTTTTGACAGTCTCTGCGGCAGAGCTGCTGCTTTTGGGTTCATCTGGCTTCGCTGGTTCTTCTATGATTGATGAAGGTCCAGGCTCCGGAGAAGGATGTCAGGGATGTGACCTTCCAGTTGTTAAATGTAAGTTTAGATTGACTGTATTTAGTTTTCTTCTGCGCTGGTTCTTCTGACTTGTTTGCAAGTGTATATTCTTTCTATCTGGTTAACGGCTGACACACACATAACAACGTGACAAATAAAGTAAACAACGTAACAAATAAACAAATCTAAGCTTTTTTATTGGTTGTAATTTACATGGATACATTTGAATGGTGTGACAATGTCCTATTTGATTGGGTTAAAATGTACATATTCTTCCTGTTATGTTATGACATATATACATCAAACAAAACAAAGGGCCTAGATAAACCGGGGTGTACAGTTTAAAATGTTAATAATATATTCAAGTGTTCAAAGTACAGTTTCAGTGCAGTAGCAGCGGAGATGGGCAGAAAGGTGACTGGTACTGGATGAGGGAAGTTGGTTTTGTGTGTGTGTGTGTGTGTGTGTGTGTGTGTGGGGGGGGGGGGTTAGAGTCCAGGACCATTTGGGGCAGGGGAGAAAGGTCGGAGGCAGGATGGAGAGTTCAGGTCTGTGGCGGTAGTTTGTAGTCCGTTAGGGTCCTGATGCCCTGCCACAGGCTCCGTGAGTCCCTGCTATCCTTGAAATGTCCTGTAATTTCTCGGGTGTATTCTTGTTTTGCTTTCCTGATGCCACGGGTCAGCCCTGGCTGCTTTCAGCCCAGCTGGATCTCCAGCTCTGAAGGCGATGTTGCGCGCCTTCAGCAGCGTGTGGACCTCCCCTGTCAGCCATGGCTTCTGGTTAGCCCGGATGGTGATGGCTCTGTTTTGTGTCACATCGTCAATGCACTTGGTGATGTAGCCCGTGACTGTCTCTGTGTATTCTTGTATGTCGGTGTGATGGTTGTATGTGGCTGCCTGCTTGAACATGTCCCAGTCTGTAGTGTCAAAGCAGTCTCTGAGCTGTGCTGTCCTCTGACCACACCCTGGGTCTGTAGGCCGGTTCCAGCAGAACAGTGAGGTGGTCAGAGAGGCCGATGTGGGGGAGGGGGGATGCCTTGTATGCTCCCTTGATGTTGGTATAGACCAGGTCTAATGTGTTTTCCCCCTGGTTGGGAAATCAACATGCTGATATATTTTAGGCAGCACAGTTTTTAAGTTAGCGTGGTTGAAGTCTCCAGCTACCATGAGTAGGCCGTCTGGGTGTGCTGTCTGCTGCTCACTGATGGCTCTGTACAGTTCACCGAGTGCCTCCTCTTTACCCTCTTTGCTGGGGTTAGGCGGGAGGTAAACAGCCGCCACAAGGATCGCTGTAAACTCCCTCGGCAGGTAAAAAGGACGGCATTTTAGAACCATAAATTACACCAGTGGCGAGCAGTGTTGGCTAACAACAACAGTGTCTCGGCACCAAGCGTCACTGATGTACACACACACACACCGCCGCCGCGAGTCTTCTTTCCCCCGTTATCTTTGTTCCTGTCTGCTCGGTAGCTTGGTAGCTTGTTAGCTTGTCTAGCTGAATAGCGGAGTCAGGGATGTTGTTGTGAAGCCATGTTTCCGTGAACACGTAAACACAGCAGTCTCTCACCTTTCGCTGGGTTGATCGTAGCAGGCGTCTGTTGTCTATCTTGTTATCCAGTGAGCGGACATTTGCCATAAGTAGTGATGGAATTGCCGGCTTGTGTGAGCTAGCCTCTAGCTTAGCCTCTAGCCTAGCCTCTAGCCTAGCCTCTAGCCTAGCCCGGATACCTCCTCGTTTCCCCCTCTTCTGCTTCCTCTCACATCGTCGGCGGCGTCTCCTTTCCGGGTGGGGCTCGACGCGAGACGGGTAGCAGAGGAGCTCCAGGCGGCTGAGTTCCTCTACGAGTTTAGCTTCCAATTTGAAGAAAGTTGATCTTCTTCCAAGAAGAAACTCACGGCTGTATTGTTGTCCTTTACAAGTCCAACGGAGACGACGAACAAAGTGACAAACTCGACAGATCTGACGAACAAGACGAAAACACTGTTTTTTCTAGACCGCGAGGGGCCGCTGCGACTGCTAGCGCCGCCATCTAGTCTTACATCTAGTGTGTGTATGTATGTATGTGTGTGTGTGGGGGGGGTTTGCTGAGGGAACTTTAAATGACTGAAAGACGAGACTTTAGTAGAAAAAGGTTTATTTAAACTGTACAGGAAGTAAAGAGACGAGAGGTTCACTGACACTCCGTGAATCAGAGCTCTCAGCAGGAGCCCTGTGAGAGGTTCACTGACACTACGTGAATCAGAGCTCTCAGCAGGAGTCCTGTGAGAGGTTCAATGACACTCTGTAAATCAGAGCTCTCAGCAGGAGTCCTGTGAGAGGTTCACTGACCCTCTGTGAATCAGAGTGTCAGCAGGAGTCCTGTGAGAGGTTCACTGACCCTCTGTGAATCAGAGTGTCAGCAGGAGTCATATGAGAGGTTCACTGACCCTCTGTGAATCAGAGTGTCAGCAGAGCGCAGCAGGAAGTCCTTTCTTCAGCAGAGAGGACAGGAAGCTGCCCAGATCCTCGTCCTGAAGAGAGACAGACGTTAAAAACACAGACAGGTAACAAACAGCTGATCAGCAGGAACACATCACCTGTTCTAATATCACCTGTTCTAATAACATAACACATCACCTGTTCTAATATCACCTGTTCTAATAACATAACACATCACCTGTTCTAATATCACCTGTTCTAATAACATAACACATCACCTGTTCTAATATCACCTGTTCTAATAACACCTGTTCTAATAACACATCACCTGTTTTAATATCACCTGTTCTAATAACACCTGTTCTAATAACACATCACCTGTTCTAATATCACCTGTTCTAATAACACCTGTTCTAATAACACATCACCTGTTCTAATATCACCTGTTCTAATAACACATCACCTGTTCTAATATCACCTGTTCTAATAACACATCACCTGTTCTAATATCACCTGTTCTAATAACACATCACCTGTTCTAATATCACCTGTTCTAATAACATAACACATCACCTGTTCTAATAACACCTGTTCTAATATCACCTGTTCTCATAACACCTGTTCTAATATCACCTGTTCTAATATCACCTGTTCTAATATCACCTGTTCTAATAACATAACACATCACCTGTTCTAATAACACCTGTTCTAATATCACCTGTTCTAATATCACCTGTTCTAATATCACCTGCTCTAATAACACATCACCTGTTCTAATATCACCTGTTCTAATATCACCTGCTCTAATAACATAACACATCACCTGCTCTAATACCACCTGCTCTAATAACATAACACATCACCTGTTCTAATATCACCTGTTCTAATAACACATCACCTGTTCTAATATCACCTGTTCTAATAACACATCACCTGTTCTAATATCACCTGTTCTAATAACATAACACATCACCTGTTCTAATATCACCTGTTCTAATAACACATCACCTGTTCTAATATCACCTGCTCTAATAACATAACACATCACCTGTTCTAATGTCACCTGTTCTAATAACACATCACCTGTTCTAATATCACCTGTTCTAATAACATAACACATCACCTGTTCTAATATCACCTGTTCTAATAACATAACACATCACCTGTTCCAATATCACCTGTTCTAATATCACCTGTTCTAATAACACCTGTTCTCATATCACCTGTTCTAATATCACCTGTTCTAATAACACATCACCTGTTATAATATCACCTGCTCTAATAACATAACACATCACCTGTTCTAATATCACCTGTTCTAATAACACCTGTTCTAATAACACATCACCTGTTCTAATATCACCTGTTCTAATAACACATCACCTGTTCTAATAACACCTGTTCTAATATCACCTGTTCTAATAACACATCACCTGTTCTAATAACACATCACCTGTTCTAATATCACCTGTTCTAATAACACCTGTTCTAATAACACATCA